TATTGCTGACTTTTATAACAAACAGTAACAATAACAATGGGTTTATGTGTGTAATTATGGCTTTGGCCAACCTACAAGATCAACATAACGTTTATGTCAAACTGAAACTACGTGTATATAAAAAGTGCGAAATCCCATTAAATACATATTTACTGCCATCATATTTATGAAACATAAAAATTTTATGAGAAGGTAGAAAGGCTGCAGGCATATTCTAACGTCGTTTTTGTTTATAGGTTACCTTAATTATACAGAGAGATTTATAGTCACGGCTAATGAAAGTCCGGCCATATTGGATGCATTGAGTACTCCGAATTATCTAACACCTTTGCAATAAACATCACCTTTCATTTAAACTGAATTTAATTAACGGTTTCCAAGTATCCAGGTGGAATATTCGTGGTAATCTTCGAAGTTTCTACATAACTGTACTCATTGGAAAAATATAATTATCAAATTTTTAATAAATTGGATATTACAAAAGATGTCTAATACAAAGTTATGTACAGTTTATGAATTATAAGTATATATTGAGGCGCTTGATTACAAAAAAATACCTATATATTTTATAGGATTAATGAATGTTCAGTGACACCTTCTCCCTTCTTCAATCGACAAGGTTCCATATTGAGCCTATACAATGTAAATTTTACACCTTTGTTTAATATTGATTGATAGTTTGATACATAATTAAATAGCTTCACGCCACATCCCTTGCGAGACGGCGAACATGAGATGGGTAAACATTGTATCAGTATAATTAAATCACTGTCATAGCCACACCCCGATGAACACCACATTTCACATCACTTGGGTCTGAGTTACCTGCCTGACACTTAAAGTAGTTCCCGAAAATGTGCCGGCTTTTCACTCTGTAACCTGTATTAACATTTGGCTATTTTTTATCATTTGGTGTTACTTGAGGAGCTCGATGGCGCAGGTGGTTAGCGCGTTCGGCTGCGATCGTTGTAGTTAAGCAACTTTCGCAGTGGTCAGTCATTGGATGGGTGACCAAAAATTTCTATCTCGAGTTCCTGCGTGCTTCGGAAGGCACGTTAAGCCGTGGGTCCCGGTTGCATCTGCAGTCGTTAGCACCCGCCAATCCGCACTGGGCCCGCGTGGTGGGTCATGGCCCAATCTCCCTATTCCATCCATAGGGAAGGCCTGTGCCCCAGCAGTGGGGACATTAGGAGGCTGATGATGGTGTTACTTAGAGATTTTAAATTTGTAATGTGTTTAAATTTTATGCTTTTCTTTTTTTGCTATATCAATACAATGAAGTGTATATAGTCTACAAAACACGTTACTTTGACAAGCATTATATTTAGTATGGTTATTTGTCTACTATGCTACTTTAAACCTTAGGAGCGAAAGAAAAATTAGGAACTCGGTAGGAAGAGGAGATAATAAAGCCGTTCATGACTAAGCACACAAGTTAGCAACGCTAACTCATGCATGAACTGCAAAGTGCCCTTGTCAGAAGGAAACAATAACACTTATATGTTACTTGACTAAGTTTCAGTGTAATGAATACAGATGTTATACTGAGTAATATACAAGGGTATTCAAATACTTTGATTAATCCCAATAAATTCGACGACAGTATTTTTTATTGTACCCTTGGCACGAAACAATATCGAATTTCAATAGTTGAATTCGATCTTGATTCGCGTCAACTATTATTAAGTTGCGTATTTAGATTAATCTAAGGTTGCAGTTTGGATTTTTATTTCTGGTTACGTCCGTTGTGGCGCTGTTTAAATTACCATATAAAACTTTTTAACCTTTGACGCGTATCGAGATCGAATTCAAATATTCGATATTGGTTTGTGCTAAGGGTACTGATCAATTACTTTTCAGAGATGGCATAATATCATAACGAGAATAAGAGTCAAATGAATAACCTACTTTTTTGAAGCCGGTAGAATAAATTTGCTCTAGATGTTCTCTTGAGAATTCGGATACTGATGCCTACCATCTATTAATATAGAATCCACGGGTATTCTGTATTGAAACAAAGCAAACTCATCTAGTTTATGTTTGCTTGATTCGTCTTGATAAGTATAAATAAGTACCTACTCTAGATCTAGGGTTTGATTATTATAATCATGTACTAAAATGAAAATTCCAAAAAATAGTAATGTGAAATTGATATCCCCAAGAAGTAGAAGGAACGTACCTCATGACACTCTTGTAGGATCAATTTGTTATCCGTCTGTCAGTCCGCCTGTCAAAACCCTTTTTTAGGAAAGCATTAGAGGTAAAGTATCAATGCCATGTAATAATACAAGAAAAGCAATAATTAAAAAAAAACTTTCATGAGGAGGCATCGGAGGTTTGTGTTTAATCAATTACATTAATCTCGATTTGATCTGCTGCTTTACATTACGACTTGTCGGAAATATATTTTAATGTTGAAATGTCAGTATTAATGCAGCTTATAATTATAATTCTACTACGAATGCGATATCCTAATTGGATTTACGTAATATTTACAAAAGACGAACTGAATCAGAGTGTAAAGTCACAATTCAATTTGATTAAATGCAAATTAGCTTCGCGCTTTGAGCATTGCAAATCAATCTGACAGGACTGTGCGAAAACCTATTCGGATATAAATATTGGACGAAATGAAAAGCTAGCCTGGCCGAAGAATATTTGCTACGAACACTATTCGAATGTGTTATTCCAGACGATTTAAGGGTTGCATTAACAAAGTGTGACAACGGAACGTTATTACTAAAATTACTCTGTTTTGTTTCTGTTAGACCAGGGTCGATAATTTTTGAGACCAAAAAAAATTATAGTAGGATGAAACCCATTGGTTTAAAATTTTTGTCTGTCTGTCTGTCTGTCTGTCTGTGTGAATGTTCCTTATAGAAACAAAAACTACTCAACGGATTTTAACGAAACTGGGTACAATTATACTCCTGGGCAGGTCATAGTATACTTTTCATCACGCTACAATCAATAGCAGCAGAGTAGTGAAGGGAAATGTTGGGAAAACGGGAGAAATTACTCCATTTTTTAAGATTCAGTCGCGGGTGCAGCCTTAATGGTTAAAATTACATAGAAATCATGTATGACTGAAATATTCTACATAAAATTGTCTAAAAAATATCCCGCAACAGCATATGTCTATCTTTTATGGTTGACTCACAATAACACGTGTAATTATATAAATAAAGTCATTCTTTATAGCACAAGCCTGAGAACAAAAACTATAGTTTACATTACAGCTCTACACCGAAGCGAAGCGAGGGCGGGTCACTAGTTTTATATATAACTAGTGGCCCGCCCTCGCTTCGCTTCGGTGTACAGCTGCAGTGTAAACTATAGTTTTTGTTCTCAGGCTTGTATTATAAGCAATAACTTTATTTATATAATTACACGTGTTATTGTGAGCCAACCATAAAAGATAGACATATGCTGTTGCGGGATATTTTTTAGACAATTTTATGTAGAATATTTCCGTGATACATGATTTCTATGTAACTTTAACCATTAAAGCTGCACACGCGACGGAAGCTTAAAAAATGGAGTAACTTCTCCCGTTTTTCCAATATTTCCCTTCACTACTCTGCTCCTATTGATTGTAGCGTGATAAAAAGTATACTATAACCTGCCCAGGAGTATGAAGAATAATTGTACCAAGTTTCGTTAAAATCCGTTGAGTAGTTTTTGTTTCTATAAGGAACATACACACAGACAGACAGACAAAATTTTTACTGATTGCATTTTTGGCATCAGTATCGATCACTTATCACCCCCTGATAGTTATTTTGAAAATATATTTCATGTACAGAATTGACCTCTCTACAGATTTATTATAAGTATAGATTACATAGATAAATGATTGGTCTCGCTCGATACCAATCATTCATCTATGTATAATTGTATAGGTATATATAACAAAGTCAATGTCTATTTTTTATGATTAACAATTTATTTCACTGATTCGTTCATAATACTTATACAAATACTAACACTTGAAATTACAACACGAAGATTTAAATGTCATGAGATATCTCGCCGCGTCGGCAATACCGTATGTACCCGTGCACACTCGCCGCCCGGCGTCCTGCAGACCATCAGGATGGCGCGGCGGTCAAGCTATAGCATGAACCATTATCAAATTCGAATAGTTGAATTTGATCTCGATACGCTTTTTTTTTAATGTGTAATATCTTTCCTTTCGCTTTCCTGCAATTTGTGGGAGTGATTTCATGAAATGGGACGGAAGTGTGTAACAGGAAGTCGCGAAAGCGCGCGCTATTAGATTTGATTTTAGAACATAATGTTCAAATGGCTTATTCCTTTTGTAGTAGGTTTTACTTCTTTTTTTACTAATATAAGGTGAGGTTTCAAATGTAACACAGTTTACAATTATTATTTTTTGAGTTTGTATGCTGTTGGTAGCAGGTGACCTCAAATGTCAAGAAATTTTGTATAGAAGATTTTTATTCGGTGCTCGTTAAGTCCGTTGTGGTGCTGTTCCAATTTCCATACAAAACTTTTTGACATTAGACGCGTATCGAGATCGAATTCAACTTTGAATTCGATAATGGTTGGTGTTAAGGGTTCTTGAACACTTCATTGTATTGATATAGCAAAGAAAGAAAAGCATCAAATTAAAAAAAAACGTTATTAGGTATAATTTTTATTTTTTTAAAGCATGTAACTGCTTGATGTTTAAATCTAAAGAAAATATAACTAGAAAAAAATCCACGCGGACCAGGCAGCAGACGAGATTCGAACCCGCACCCTTCGCAATCCGGGCGAATACACTGACCAAATGTTTCTTAGGTTTTCACGCACATCACTCATTAAATAAAACTAGTTTTTAACGGGTTAATGCACGAAACTTTATTATACGAAACGTCAATAAATAGGTAAATAAAGTTTCGTGCATTAATCCGTTAAAAACTAGTTTTATTTAAACTGTAAAAAAGCAATTGTAAATTCGAATAGTTTAAAAAGAAAATTTTAATTTGTTTTAGGTGACGAAGGTGGAGTGCGCAGGGTGCGCGGCGCGAGGGGATGCCCGTGCGCAAGGGGCTTCTCGCGCCCCAAAACACCTTCCTCGATACCATCGCTACCCGCTTCGATGGCACACGTAAGTGACTTTATTTTTATAGTTAAGTAGGTAAATGACCCTACCCCACCTGATTTTAAGAGGTGGCAAAGTCCAGACGCGAAGATACCTTATCTGTGCCCCTGCAGTGAGGACATTAATAGGCTGATGATTAGGTATTATTAATGGGTATTTTACTTTCAAAGAGAAAATATATGTAAAGTTAAAGACGGTATATTTTTGAATTCATTTTTTTATTAGGCATTCGTTTAGGTGGACCATTAATAAATTTAATTAGGTGGATTCCAAGTAATTTACTAGAATGTGGAGGTTATGAAATTTAACCGTTAAAAGCTTCTGTATTTTAAGTTACACAACTAACTTTTAAAATACAAGTCCGATCATTATGTAAGAGAAGTCGTCAATTTTATAACTTGGCTTGGTAATAATCAATTTGCTTGCGTAAGCTAGAAGTCTGCAGTGCTTTTAGGGTTCCATATTCACAGGGTTAAAACGGGACACTATTACTAAGACACCACTGTCCGTCTGTCTGTCTATGTTTATGTCGGTCTGTATGTCTGTTTGTCCGTCTGTCTGTCTGTCGCCAGGCTGTATCTCATGAACTGTGATAGCTAGACAGTTGAAATTTGATAGCTAGACAGTTGAAATTTGATAGCTAGACAGTTTTCACAGATGATGTATTTCTGTTTACGCAATAACAACAAATAAAACAGATTAAAATAGCTATTTAAGGGGGGCTCCCATACAGAAAACGAGACTTTTTTGCCCTTTTTGCTCTATATTAATAACGGCAACAGAAAGACTCTTGAAATATTCACAAAATATTTAGTTCTTTATTCACTGTAAAAATAAATAATTGAATCAAAATCAAATAAATATTTACGAGGGGATCCCATACACCAGCGGATTTTTCTTGCCGATTTTTGCTCGATATATAAATATTATATAAAATGTCTAATGTTGTATAAATAATGGTACGGAACACTTCGACAGTGGTCGTTACTTAAGAAAGGTCTTTTTATGGTCCAATTCTTTTGTCCCAATATTATCAATAGAGCTTGCGGTATTGTAGCTATCGTTCACAGACTTCAAACGATGCGATCGTATGTCAAGGACGTCTTTGGGTATACTACCTACATGCATAGTAAAGTGCAAATCCCATCTGTTCCGATAAAGGTTGATCTCCGTCACGATATTGGAAATGTGGTACCCTAATCCATTTAATGGTTATTACCTTATGTAGTAGGCAGATCGAAAATAGGATTTCGTAGTGTTACTTTAATTACGCTTTAGTTATTACTAATTAAATTGGATAACTTTTAGGAAGAACAGATCATTTTATTCACTTGCCGTTTTTTAAGCGCGCCAGAATTTAACTTGTCCCATTGTTAAATCATATAGTGCACAACAGATAACAATCTGTTAACGGTGAAATAAATAGTTGGCACCTTAATTGATTCAGCCATTTCACCTCTGGTTTAAAAACAACCCATGTTCTGACTTTTGTAAACGGCGTTCTGGACCGTCTATTATATAAAATTCTTACAGTGTTTGTAACAAAACTCATCCGAAACGGCTTGGCCGATTTTTATAAAAATTAGTAAATCTGAGAATAGTACATATACTATTTTTCATACCCTTAAGTGACAAGGATTTTTCTTATTTTTTTTTATAATTCGGCTTTAAAAAAACATGCAACCTTAAATGTTCACCCTTCTACCAGCAACCCGTAATTTTATGGCAGTACGAAGTACGCTGGGCTAGTAATGAAAAATGTTCTTCCACGAGAATCGTAAACATTAGAAAAATATATGCCTTACAGAACCGTTTATCTTTGAAGCCACCCTAAGTCAATTTGACTCCCGAAGTTTTACGATACATCCATCGGAATGTACTTTAATAATGGGTTATGTTCTTTGGTATCAAAATAAAAGAACAGGGAAAGTTGCAATGTCACAAAACTTGTCTTTATTTATTAAAACTTTATTGCCACACATAAGTAAACGGCGGACTTAATTCTATAGGCATTCTCTACCAGTCAACCAGTAACGTTTTGGAGACAAATAGTAAAGCGATAAGGCAATGTTGCTAAAGAACAAAAAAGAACTTAACATATAGCAAACAAAACTAAGATTCAATCCTTGTCTTCTTCCTGTACAGTTCAAAAGGTATTATTACCATACAATTAAATGAACTCAATAGCTTTTAGGCAATAATCATGATAAGTAATAAAACAAAATCGAAACGATTTACTGTATTTACTTTGATAGACCACTTTACTCCTGAAACTTTACTCATGAAAAGTTCAATTGCGATGCTATAACACATACTATGTACCGATGTACTCTATTATTATGTAGGTTTATGCTATTAGACTTCCATTATAAAATTCTTTGCACTCTTTCAAAACTTATGTGCGTACATATATTTCGGCGATTCATTTTTATATAAATAGATTGTTCATATGACGTTTAATGAAATATCTTGTCACTGTTAAATTAAAAATTAAGCATGCAATCTTGCCATTTTAAATTACATTTAACGTTCTTTAGATCTAATTTGTTGTCCGGAAATAATTGCCAGGTTGCCAAGCCCTACAAATAGATTCCGAAATAACTCTTTTAAGTTAATTAACTGAATCTTTGTAGAGGAAAGTTGGCAGCTGGTTCCCAGTTTGAAGTTGTTTGAAAAGGATCCGTTCAAAAGTGTTTTCATAAATTATAGAAAATTTTCTTCTCGATTATATAAGTTAGTAAGTATTTACTATTTGGACGTAATTTCCGTAGGGATATATCTCAATACTTAGATATTTCTATCTTCACAAGTGAGCTACGCAAGGACTATCTTATCTTACAGTTTCCGCCATGCCTATATGAACATTATAACAAATTTTAACGCACATTTTTGTTATTTGGTCTTGGAATTGAACTTTATCCAGAAAACTGAAGTGTGTTTTATTAAGATTATTGACTGAAAATATGTTAAATCATGATATAAGCCGATAGACGTGGCCTTCCATCGAACTTCAAAATTTTGGTGAGTTTTTTTTTAATTGAACAGCTAATTCAAAGTAAAGGAAACAATTAAGTATAAGAAAGATTTTACTCTTAAAGAAAAGATTTCCAAGACAAAGGACCTGTTATCAAAAATAGTCCAAATAATGTAACGAGGCACACTTTACGGAAATACTAAGTATCTTTTAATCTGGACCCGCAATAAATCTATAAATATTATTATATTCTGAGTAATACAGTAACACTCGTAATATATCTTCTAATTGCAGTTACACAATACACATAATAGAACACTAGCTTTTGCCCGCGGTTCTCTTACGTTAAATTTGATTTTGAGTGAAAAAAACTATAAAAAACTTCTATAAGACTTTGTTACCTTCTCTTTTACCATATAAAGGGTTGATTTTTGAAAAAAACTACATCATATAATAGCTATAGTTGTGCCAAATTTCAGCGCAATCCGTTCAGTGGTTTAAGCTGTGCGTTGATAGAACAGTCAGTAACGGTTGCCTTTTATATTGTTACGTATCGGGACAGGGTTTGAAATTATATGCCAGTGAACTGGTTCGACAATTCTTTATTCCACCACACTGTTCACACAGTTAACTGACGATGTCAATCACAATACACTCACTAAACACTGTACTTTACTATACAAGTCTTAAGCAAGCGCACTTGAACCATTTAGTTGCAGTTTGATCGCCTTTGTATTCGTTCCGAAATCGCTGTTGAAACTCAACTGTCTCTGCCCGGCGCCGGTCGCGCTTATATATGCCAATGGACGCATTCTGGAAAGGTCCCGTTAAATTGAGAGTTAACTAGCACCCGCGAGTGCGTAGTACCTACTAATACCCACGTAGGTAATGCGCATAAGTTGTAAACAAGTGCAGATATCGTTGCACTTTCTCCCTTACGCCGCAATGCATAAGGTTCATAGCATAGTAAAATGAGCCGCACCACTCGACCTTTAACGCGATCCGCGGTGTTCTGGTCTAGTCTAGTATTTTCGCGGTTTTGTTTCGAGAGCGTTTGTGACAATATATACAGACGAAGATTAGAATCAAATACAAGTCGGTTCCGCTGTCTGAATCTTATAATAATATGTCCGAGAATAAAAATTATAAGTGGTCTTCACCGAAGCGAAGCGAGGGCAGGATACATGACAGTAATAAATAAAAAAAAAACTTTTTTTTATTGTGTGATTTGTGAATATTTAATTTGATGTTGTCATAATTTTAAGTAGAAAAATTGTATTATAAATTATTAAAATCTTTTTTGATTTTTTTAAAATATTTAAATGAAAATAGTTCCAGAAAGATAATATTTGCGTTAATTGCGTAATAAAAGATGGAAATGTCATCACCATTGTCTACACACGAGAACAATAAATCCAGGTCACATAAAGAATCCTAAAAATGTCGCAAACTAACAATGCTAGCTTAATAAAATAAATTGTGTTTAATAGACAATTAAATACTCCTTAAATAAAAGTAATAAAATCTAGACATATAAGTCACTACATTTTATTCACAAAAAAATACATTCAGAAAAAAACTAGCTGATCTCGCCTTAAAACAGAAATAAGAAACATAACATTTTTAAACAACATTACAAATTTCCTCCTACTCCTAAACCACTGAACCGATTATAATAAAATTCGCACACCTTGTGCAGTTCGATCCAACTTGAAAGATACTATAGCTTACATCTCGATTTATAGTCGCAATATTTTTTTTTTATTGCAAATTATTACTTTTGGGCGGTACGAAGTTCGCCGAGTCAGCTAGTATTCTATAGATTAACTAGCCGACCCAGCGAACTTCGCACCGCCATAAAATAGAGGCAGGTGGTAGAAGAGAAAATTTAGGGTTGTATGTATTTTTTAATACCACATAATAAAAAAATAAATATTGTCCAAAAAAATTTTAGGGGTGTGTAACGTAGTGTTCTATCAATTTCCTGGGATGACATTTCTCCTAACCCATATGAGAGCACTACGTTACAATA